GCCGGTGGAGCGGAGCGTCCTGTTCGAGCTGCAGCTCTTCTTCTGCCACCTGGTCGCCCTCTTCGTACACTACATCAACATCTACAAGACGGTGTGGTGGTACCCGCCCTCGCACCCGCCCTCGCACACCTCGCTGGTAAGCGCCCCGCCGCACGCCGCCCCCGGACCCTGCCGGACCGCGTTGCTTTTCCCGGGCCGGCGGCGCCGTCCCGTTGCGCTGCCGCATCGGAGCCGGGAGGCGGCTTCAGACACGGCGCGCCGCGCAATTGCGGAGGGAGCGTGCTCGGGTCGGGCTTCTTACCCTGGCCGGGGAAATGTCGCGTGTCTGCGTCCGAGGCGCAGCTCGGTACCGGCTTTACGCCCGGTTTATCGAAACGGGAGTCTCCTCCGTTGCTTGCTCCGAGGGGCGTACGGCTGAGGGCGAGCACAGTGCGGGGGTATTTGAACTCCGAGCCTCCAGGCGTGGCCCTGCACGTAGGACGCCCGCCAAAGGATTTAGAAATATCTGAAGCCCGGGGTGCGGGTGGAGGAGGTTTGCCAGTACGGTTCTGGCCTCCTGGATTCGGAGTTAGTTTTGGCCGATTTGGCCTCGGATACAAATTTAAATAAAAATCATTTTTAAAAGAATTGCAGGAGCGAGCTTGGTTGTGAGCGTGGGGCCCATCTGGCTTCCCCCCAGCAGCCTGGCCGCCGCACGTATCTCGACAGGGTTGCCTCTCGTTAAAGATGCAGGCGCCTGGAATCGGTCCCGTTTTATGCGGACCAGCCTGGTAGTGCTGGCAGATTTCTCAGCGAGTCGTCTTAGGGCAAACTTTAGGCACCCTGACACCAGGCGTCTTGGGGCAGGCAGGAGGGAGGAGGAATGGCTTGGGTGGCTCGCCCATCGCCTGCGGATTGTCTGCTGCCTGTCGGAAAACAGCCGGGTTCCCCTTTGGTCGTTGCAGAACTTCCATCTCATCGACTTCAACGTGCTGACGGTGACGACCATCGTCCTTGCGCGCCGGCTGATCGGTGCCATCGTGAAGGAGGTAAGGGCTCAGACCGGCGAGCAGCGTCTCCCCTCGTCTCTCTGTATTTGGGGCACAGGAGGTAGATGAATGCACCGAAGTGGGCACAGAGCAGCAGTTCTCAACCAGGGTGAAGCAGTGCCTTGGGGTGCCACGAGATCCTTTTAAAGGGTGTCACAGATGCGGTGGAGCACTAGCACAGTTGGGTCTGCAAACACCTACCTGTGTTTCACAAGCTAAACCTGGAGACTTCCAGGAGGCATCCCCTATGTCATCCTGCCCTGCTGCTGGCTTTTCGAGTGCTGAAAAATTGCTCGGGGATTTTTACGCAGTCAAAAAACGAATGAAAGCAAAGAGCTGGCATTTTGCAAAGGGGGTGTTGAGTCTAATGACGGGCACCTTGAGTGTAAAAAGGCTGAGAACGTCTGGCCTGGGGCCTTATTCGGGGCAACATAGCAGGCACCAGCATTGGGAGCTGGTGCCAGGTGCTGCACCCACAAAGTAGTTAGTGCCCAGCGACGCAAATGCAGGGACTCTGAGCATGACTCCCTATCATGTTGGCCTGAACAGTTATAACCTTCTCAGGAACGAAGTGAGGAGTGGAAAAGCAGAACGGAGGTAGTTGGTGGGACTGGGAGGATTTCTGTGCTGGTTTGTAAATTTGAAGGTGCAGCGAGGCCTGGGATTATAGTTCAGAGCGACTGGAAAGCTTGCGTGCCCCTGAAGCTTCTGCCTTTCTCTTACCCTGTTCTCAAAGCCTATGAGCTCAAGCTGTAACGCAGCCCAGGCATCATGTCTTTCAGCGTGTCTCAGTCCTTTTTTGCCCTGCGTTCCCTTTCCAAATCCCAGTGTGTTTTGGACCGCAGTGACTGCTCTCTTCCTTGAGGGAAATTCGGTGTTTGGCTTCCTTCACCTTTTCCCCTGCTTCTAGTCGGAGGAAGCTGCCGACCTCAGCAGGGTATATTCACAGCTAGATTCTGCTTCAGAGTCTTTCTGCAGGAAGGCGGAAGCTGGAGACGGCGCTCTTTTCCCACTATATGTAGGGGAACAGGCTGATCCTTGTCTTCAGGCTGATGTTGGTGACCTGTCAGGGCAAAGCAGGCAGCCCATGGTAGCTCTCCCAGCCTGTGCGTGGTGCACAGCTGCTTGGTCTTGGGAAAGCTCTGGGTAGATGCTGATCTACGCTGGGCCTGTCCCACCCAACAGCAGTACCTTGAGGTCACTGCTTCTGCTATAGCTCGGTGCTGGCTCGGAGGGTCCGAGCAGTGATTCAGTGTGACACTCGTTTCCAGAAGAAGGGGCAGTTGTCTGACCTCAGGCTGCAGCCTCCAGTGCAGTCACAGCGCTTCTCGGGGGGGTGTGGGTCCCACTGACATTCCCTTGGAAGAGTTGGGCTTGCTGCAGAAGCGGGGCCTCACTGGGACAGACTGGGAACCACTGGTAACTTCTGCCCTGCTCTGTCTCCTCTTCCCTGCAGGCTTCACAGAGCGGCAAAGTCTCCCTGCCGCGCTCTGTCCTCCTGGTGATCACTCGCTTTGCTGTTCTCACCGGGACAGGTTGGAGCCTGTGCCAATCAATAATTCACCTCTTCCGGACCTACTCATTCCTCAATCTCCTGTTCCTGTGTTACCCGTGAGTATCTCATCCCCCAGCTGTGCTTCGCTGATGAATCCTTAATGCTGCCTCTCCAATCAAACGATGTTGTTCAGAGCCCACATGGGGCAAGATGAGGCTTGAAAGCAAACGAGCTCTTGACTCCCTCGCACTTAGTTTTCTCTTTCTTGACAGATCATAAGGACCACATGGAGTTAGCTTGAGGCTTGGGTCCTTCCATGACTATCGCAGCCTTTCTAGGCGTCGGCCAGAGCGTGCCCCTTGGCCGGGATATCTGAAAAGGCCCTGCCTTGAGACTTCTTGAGCTCCAAAAAGTCCCATTTCTCTCCAGCTTGCTCTGGGCTAGTGCGTTTCCTCAGCTTCCACCTCCTTACGTTGATCAACTCGGGCACCTTTTCTCTGTCTTGTATTAACCACAACTCTGGAGCCAGCTCCCATTTCCATTCCAGGAGCAGAATTGCTTCCCCGGTCCGTTTTTCTTGCCAGGTGGAGAGCAGGGGAGGGCTGAGTGCTGTGCGCAGGTGTGGTTCAGGTGTAGAATGGCCCTGTGCCATCACAGTGAGAAGCATCTGCTGAAGGGCTGGGCCTTACCTCCACCACCTCTGAAGGGGTAAAAGGTCGGTGACGGTGATTGGAGGTCAGAGATCTGAGTTGCGGGGGGGCGGGCCTGCAGGTGACCCTGTAAGCATGGATAGTGCAGAGATGGAACAGTTTCACATGGCTGCTGGTGCAGATCATGGAGGACCATCTTTTTGGCTGTGTCCCCTTTCAGGAGATGAACTAGCTGCTGGAACGGGTCCCAGTTATGAGTTGAGCATGAAGCCGTAATACCATGTGGAGCTTAGCAGTGCACATCCAGAATCTGCAGGGCATTTTAGGTGGACCTAACTGCGTCCCTGCCAGAAACCTCCAGTAGATCTGTAACCTGGTTGGATCCTTCTAGGAGTTGCACAGGAATCAGCCTTCAAAGTCCTAGACATCATGCAGTGTCTGGCTAATTCTTTCCACTGTAGGGAATGGCTTGGGACTGGTACCACTGTCACAGTCTGTTCACCCATTCTGCTCTTCCAGGTTCGGCATGTACATTCCCTTCCTCCAGCTGAACTGTGACTTCAGGAAGACAGGCCTCTTCTCACAGGTGGCCAACATTGGCCCGCGAGAGACTGGGGACATGAGCTCCCGGGGCAAGGACTACCTGACAGTACTGAAGGAGACATGGAAGCAGCACACCAGGCAGATGTACGGCATGGAGGCCATGCCCACCCATGCCTGCTGCCTCTCCCCGGACCTGATCCGCAACGAGGTGGAGTACCTGAAGATGGACTTCAACTGGAGGATGAAGGAGGTGCTGGTGAGCTCCATGCTCAGTGCCTACTACGTTGCCTTTGTGCCAGTCTGGTTTGTGAAGGTGAGTGAGGGCTGTGAACTCTCACCCCATGTACTCCTCTTGGGGCTTCACTTGACTCCTTCTTGTAGCAGTGGCCAGACTGGATGCTCAAGCTATGGGAGATGTGAGGTTGTAACCAAGCAGGTTTCACCCCGTGTCTGTAGAGCAGGTGAGATGACTCAAAGAGCTGTTCTGCACACAGGGGGGGCTGGGGGACATGACTTCTGAAGGAATTAGACTTATTTAGTCTAGAGAAGAGGAGACGGGATTTAATAGCAGCCTTCAACTACCTGAAGAGGGGTTCGAAAGAGGATGGAGCTGGACTGTTCTCAGTGGTGGATGACAGAACAAGAAGCAGTGGTGTCAAGTTGCAGCAAAGGACGTTTAGGTTGGATATTAGGAAGAATTTTCTCACTAGGAGGGTAGTAAAGCACTGAAACAGGTTACCCAGAGAGGTGGTAGATGCTCCATCATTGGAGGTCTTCAAAACCCAGCTAGACAAAGCTTTGGCTGGGATGATCTAGTTGGGAACGGTTCTGCGTTGAGCAGGGGGTTGAACTAGATGTGACCTCCTGCAGTCTCTTCCAACCCTCATTTTCTGTGATTCTATGACTCCCTGCGTCTGCTGGCGGGATGTGGAGTGGAAGGGGAGTTGATCCCCCAAGAAATAAAAGCTGGGACCTAACAGACCCCACCAGGTCCTAGCGTGCACAGTGCTTCCCTTGACTTGGGCAGTTGTGTGCATGTCTGTTCATGGGCCAGTAATCACAGTCATGCTCCCTGGAGCTGAAGAAGGGAGGAGGCCATTTTGCTCATACCAGTGTTTGGTAGAAGTCTCTTGTGACCACTCCAGGATGGGGATGATGGGGACTATCTCCTGTCCTGCAGTCCTCTAGGAGGGGGATTTGAATAGAGTTCAGACCACTACAAAGGAAATACTGGCTCTGGAGCCAGGAATGGAGCTAGGAGCAACCCCCATGTGGGTGCAGCTCCTTGGCTGCTAGGATGAGGCCCAAGTTCACTTGGCCAAGTGCCCCGTGCCTCGACTGCCCTGTCACAACAGGTCTGGCTGCTTCTCTCGCCCCCCAGAACACGCAGTACTATGACAAGCGGTGGTCATGCGAGCTGTTCCTCCTGGTCTCCATCAGCACCTCTGTGATTCTGATGCAGCATCTCCTGCCGGCCCGGTACTGTGACCTCCTCCACAAAGCCGCGGCTCACCTGGGCTGCTGGCAGAAGGTGGATCCGGCCCTCTGCTCCAATGTGCTCCAGCACCAGTAAGGAACTCCCCGGCTCGGGACAGGCAGGGGGTTGCTCTTGGTGTGCACTGCCTCGAATAGGGCTGAGGCAGGGAGTACATCTGCCGTACACCCAGCGGAGAGATATTGTTTCCCTTTGCACTTTGCTTAGCAGCAGGTGAAAAGCAACCAGATCTGCCTCCTGTGTCTGCTAATAAACCTAAGTCCACAGGAGCAGGAGCTATCCTGGCCCCATCCAGCTGCCCTGAGCGGCCCCTTCCCTGCTGTGGTAGGTGTGCACTGGCTTAGTGCAAATATTGTGCCATCAGAAATGACTGCCGTCCTGCCTCTGGGTGTAGCGCCAGCATCCCCAGCGGAATGGGTGTGGGTGGCCGCAGCCAGCCCTGGTCCAAGAAGGGGCTGAGGGAAGGCCTGCTGGTTTCTCTTGCAGGTGGACGGAGGAGTGCATGTGGCCTCAGGGGGTGCTGGTGAAACACAGCAAGAACGTGTACAAGGCCGTGGGCCATTACAACGTGGCTGTGCCGTCTGACGTTTCCCACTTCCGCTTCCACGTAAGCTGGCCCCCTCCTTTATTTGAGCCAGTTACAGTTTCAGCATCATTTGTGCCCTCTGCTTTGGGCAGTGGTCCAGCTGCACTGTCCCAGCTGCAGGGAGCCCACAGCTTAAGCTAGACGAATAGAGAGTTGCTGAGTGGGGGGCAGTTACTGCCAAGGTCAGACAGCAGGAGGGAGACAGAGCCAGGGCTGAGACAGTGACAGTCTTGTACCTCTCCTCAAGCCCACCATCTTCGGCAGCTTTCCAGAAAGGACCCAGGCAAACTGGCCCGCAGCGTGAGAGCACCGAAGCCCTCCATTGAGAGGGAAGCGGAGATGTGCTGCTGTCTCCGGGGGCAAGATCCTCCCAGGGCTGCATCATGCTGGGTGTAGAGCACTCTAGGTGGAAAGCCTGGTTTGCCTGCCCTGCCTTACTCTGGTTTTTTTTTTTCTCCGCCAGTTCTTTTTCAGCAAACCCCTGAGAATCCTGAACATCTTAATCGTGTTGGAAGGAGCCGTCATCTTCTACCAGCTCTACTCCCTGATTTCTTCGGAGAAGTGGCACCAGACCATCTCGCTGGCTCTGATCCTCTTCAGCAATTACTACGCCTTCTTCAAGCTGCTGCGGGACCGGCTGGTGCTGGGAAAAGCTTACTCATACTCGGCCAGCAGAGACTCAGAGCAGAAGCTAAACTGAAGCACTTGGCCTGCTCCGCAGCTTGTTACAAAAAAAAACAAAACAGGAAAAAAAAAAACCCCAAAACAACCAACCTCAGAGCTTTGTATTTTTGTTACCACTGCTTTTTTTCTTTGATAACTGATGTAATTAAAAGGAAAAACCATATTTTTTTACTCCCAACCACTGTTTGCCTGGTTGCTGTGGCCGGATTCCAAAACTTCACCCCTCCCCTTTGCTGTCCCTTTCGTGACCACATGCCATCTGTCTGCGAGGCAGCAGATCTGACTCAGGTGGCGGAGGGCTGGGAACAGGAGGCTCCTGAGGCCTTGTCTATAGGAGGTTGTACTTGATTAAACCAGGCTTGGGACCTTGAGGTGGGGCAGTGCTGTCGTGCAGGTGTTTCTTTCGGCTCCAGTGCCCGTCTCTGAGCTGCAACCTGACTAAATGCCCGTCAGCACTTCACCACCATGTCAGAGCAGTTCCTGTTTAATCACGTCTCAGCTTCACCTCATTAAAAAACCCTGTAGCTCAAAATCCAGCCAAGCCTGTTTGAATGGAGCCCCAAAAGGAGACATGCTGTGATTCCAGCCATTTTGCTCTGGTTCTTCTGTTGCCTTCTGCCTGGGTTGCAGGCCTCACCCAGGCTGGGTTGCAAACACTGCGGGTTGGAAATACTTGGGAGAACAGGAGTATTTTGTAAAATACATCTTGATTTGAAAAGCCGGAGCTTGGACGGACCCTCTGCAACACTCGCCCAGGGGAGGAGCAGTGCCTGGAGCTGTACAATAAGGCGCGTGTGTCAACTGGCTCGCTGAGTTTGTGATTCCAACTCCACGTGGTTGTTGTACAGCAAGGGCTGCTAGGATTGGGGAAAGTGGTTTGCACCCCAAGTTTCTAGGGCAGGCAGGTTACTGATGAAAGACCTGCTGTAAGTGCCTGTAACGTTAGCCAGTCTGGATGCCAAATCTGTGTTTAGCCACCCCTAAACCCACCCTCTTTCCACAGGCAAGTGAGTGGAAGCAAACCCAGTGGAAGGTGAGCAGTGAGAGCTTTGAAACTGCTTTCTACTTGCTTCCAGTCACTTAAAAAACCTGCAAGGGAAAAATGTTACCAGTCTCGTGATCTTGGATGACGGCAAGGGCTGCCATCTGGAACTGGAGTAAGCAAAGGGGAGGGGCTGTTCAGAGCCATTTAGTAGCAGTGACTAACCTGGAGATGGGAAAGCCTGGCCTTTTCAGCGATACTGCTCAGGGTCCACGTTCCTGGGTGCTGGAGTGTCCCAGCAGGGCAGTGGCACAGCCCTCACTCAGCAGTCATGTTGGTAAACTGAAAAGCAGGTTCTCCCCTCCCACAGCAGAAAAGGGAGCCCTGACATCTTCAAACCAGCCCCTGCAGCTCACCTTTAAAAGTCAGGTGGGCTCGCTGTCCTCAGCCCCGAAGGCTAGGAAGGGCTCTCCAGTTTCAGCCACATCGTTCAGAAGCAGCAGGAGGTTGCAGATGTAAGAGCCAAGCCAGGCCCAGGGTGCACCCCTGTGAAATCAGGTGAGTGTCACAGTGGATCACAGCTGCTGTGGCTAAGGACTGTGATGCACCCGCTCCAGAGCAGGTTAGCCCTTCCTGGCCCCACGGTGTGGGCAGCTCGAGTCCTACTGTTCTTACTGCCCTGGGAGATAAAGATCTTGAGCAGGAGGAGGTGTTTCTGGGGATATAGATTTGGGGGGGGGGGTCACTTGTTGGAGATGGTGGCAGGTGTTGAAGGGCTGTGGGGGGGGTGTAATGGTGGGCTGGGGTGTTTCTGTGAGATATACAGTGGGAGATGCACTGGAGACATCAGGAATGTGTTGCGGGTGTTTCTGGGAGCTAAACGTGTTGTGGGGGTGCATATCAGGGGTGTGGTGGGGGTGTCGGGTGTTTCTGGGCTACATTTGGTGAGGCATGTTGCATATGAGTCGGGGTAGGTGTGGTGGGGGCATGTTGGGTTGTTCCTGGGATCCTGGGGCTGTGAATGCATGTGCCGAGGGGGGCAGGCAGGGAGGAAGCCCTGCAACCCAGTGCCACCGCTCCCACTGCTGGGAGGCCCAGAAAGGGAGCAGAGCCTGAGCACATGTCCCAGCTCTCGGGGGCAAGCTCCATTTCCACCCACCTCTTCCAAGACCCCTGTCATGCAGCAAAAACTCGGAGCTGGCTATGACCCCCCCTCCCAGGGCCTGGATCCCCGTGTGCTGGGCTAGACACCAGCCCAAGGGCAGGGAAGGGAAGGGAAGGGGCCACATCTCCCACTTCCTGGCGCATGGCCTGCACGCACTGCCTTTCCTTCTGCGCCCATCTGTGCAGCGGTCGTGCCCTGCCACTAGATGATGCTCCCGCCCTGCGCTCGCTTCACACCATGCTTGGTTTATCCAGCTGCTCTGCTTGGGGAAAAAATAACTGCAGCTGCCTGGCCCCGGCCCTGGCCTGGGCCCCCAGCACCCGTGTGCTGCTCAGGCTCCACGCCCAAGCTTTCTGTATGTGAATCAGACCCTTGGTTGCCCAGGGAGTGCCTGAAACATAGCGCCTAAGAGGGCAGAGAGGTGCAAGGCCAGGTACAAGCCCCTTGGAATAAGCTGGGTCAAATTCAACCAAGAGAGCAGGTGGGATGAGTTAGGGGGTCTCATCCTGAGCCCCAATGGCTAGCAGAAACCTTGTGCCACATAGCCAGGGGCCAAGCCACGTGTGGCTGGGGGATCTGACACCACATCTCTTCCTGGCAGGACTCAGGGCTGCTGGAGAGGGGGCACATGCCAGTGAACCTCCCTGCTGCTCTAATGCACCAGGAGCTGACTCCTGTTGCGGGGCCTGTGGCCATCCTCAGGCGACCTGTGCTCTGCTCCCCTCCAGGACACGAGGGATGAGTCCCCGCAGCCTTGAGCCACACGCTTGCCCTGCTTGCCAACAGGGCCCAGGCACAAGCCAGGCCCAGCAGGCAGCAGGGACCAGCGATCTCCTCCCCTCCACCTCGCTAGCCCAGCAGCAGAAGAGGACTAACACCATTAGATCCCCCACCACCCTGAGGGGCCAGGCATACCCCGGCCTGGCCTTGCCCAAACCCAGCACAGCCAATCAACCGGTTCCAACACTGGAGTCCCAGTGCTCCCAGTAAAGCCCATGCAGCAGCAAACCGCACACGACGAGGAGGCTGGGATGGAGCCCAGGTCTGCCGCCTGGCTCCCAGAGCACTGCAGGGGCCGGCAAAGCCTGGCTGCAGAGGGCTGTTAACCGCCGGCCCAGCACGCCTTACCCCTCCCCGGCTCCGAGAGCTCCTGCCAGCTATCTAGGCCAGCGGAGCACCATCTGTCCCAGCAAGATTATTGCCAACGGAATAAGAAAGGCCTGAGCCCAGAGATTAAATATTTAATAGCACGTCTGTGCCACGGGGAAGCACGTCCCTCCAAGAGGGGAGGCAGCTGAGTAGATTTGGCACTTGCCGCGTGGCATGGCTGGTACAGAGAGGGGGTCCCGGAGCCTCAGTCCTGACCTGTGCAGCTCAGCGGGGCTGAGAGAGCCCCGCTCTGGGGACTGCAGCTGGGGCTGGGCTCAGCATGTCGGTGGCCACAGCTACCCTGGCAAAATGGCTGATTTCTCCTACCTGCTGCACACTCGCACACGCAGCCCCTGATCCGTGCATGCTCAGGGCACGCGTGTGAGAGCCGGGCGCATGCATGACCCTAGGAGGGGAGAGTGCAGATGCACACGACGGCTCCGGGCCAAGCTCTCAGCTTGCACCAACCCCACAGCCCAGCTGCCCCATGCCGCTGCGAGGAGCGGAGCCCCCGGTTCCTCCCCAGGGCTGTGCTCAGCCCTGGCTCTCCCGTTTGCCCCGTCCCACCCTGTCCCCATGAGCATCGGACCCTGAGCCCCGCACGTGCCTTGTGCCCGGTGCTTGCTGAACTCCTGGCCCAGCAGAGGGGCTTGGAGCCGGGGCTGGGATCTGCCTCTGGCCAGCGGCTGCCCCGTCCTCCGGGGCTGCATCGACATGCCCCGCACTCCCCCCGAGAGCCTCCCGCGCCTCCTCTAAGGTTAATGAAATGGAGCAGCCAACGGCTGCTGGATGCTGCAAAGCCAAGCCTGGCTGTTTCCACAGCAACAGTCAGGCTCTGATTTATTTCCAGGGTAATTAAAACCACCCAGAGCCGTGCACCAGCTCCAGGCTGCCCCTGCCATACACCCCCTGAAGAGCCTCGGGCGGCGGAGCGGCTGCACCTTGCCGAGGTCTCACAGGAGCCTCCGGACCGCCCCGGCCTCCACAGACGGGGAGAAGTGGAAGTGGACCATTTGCCCCATATCACCCCATCTCTGCTTCCCCCTCACCCGGCCCCTGAGTCTCCCTCACCTCAGTGCCCCCGAGACAGGCTAAGCCGCATGCTGGGCTCAGTCCTTCTGATCCGTCCTGCAGACCCAACAGGCCCTCGAAGGGAAATTAAACATGGCAAAGGAGAAATCCCCCCCTTCCACCCCGCAGATACCACCTGCCTCCGGCTGCCCGGAGCACGCCACTGGGGGCTGAGCAGGGATGAAGTCTAAGCTAGAGCTGTGGGCGCTGAGAAAAGGGGCCTCTGTCCTGGAGGGAACACTGGTTAAAGGACTGGATCAAGTCTCTGGTTTCTCCTGTGTCCAGGACGGAGACTAAGACCTTGCCCTCGGCCCCAGGCTCTGCCATAAGCTAGAGTTTCACCCTGGTGCATGCGATGCCCACACTGGAACAGGCCTGCATGACCCAAGGGTGATGGATACCAAGCATATTCCCCCACCGAGCACTCGGAGAAGGGACGCAGGGTGTCAGGGCACCCCTGTGTGCACTCCTGGCTGGGCTGAGGGGCAGGAGACCGGCCCATTCACCCCTCAGCCGGAGGGAGGGAGATGTGGGCCACGTGCCAGCAGGGCTCCCAGGATGGACAGTGAGGCAGCTGGGCTGGTGGGCACCACCGGTGCCCGGGCAGAGACCCCAGCACACAATCAGGGCCCACCTGCTGCCCCAGGGGTGGCAGATCGAGCTCACACTGGCCTCTGCCAAATAGAAGGTGGCACCTGGTTGGCAGCATCCGAGTGCATCGCACGCCGGCTCCAAAGGGCTGTGCCAAGCCCCCCGGCCATGGGGGCAGGCAGGGGATGTGACGGGGGCAGGAGGTAACTGCACGTTCCCA